TACTCATTCGGGAGGCCCGCAGGGCCTGGGCCGCCCGCGGCGGGGGGGCACGCGGTGGAAGCGCCGCGAACCACAGCCCGCGTGGCGTCCGTGTCGTCCTCGCCGCCCGGGGGCGGCGCGGCGTCGGGGGCGCTGCTGGCGAAGACCCAAGGGTCCTGCGGGGCGCACATGGGCTTAGGTCGGGCGTGTCCTCCTGCAGGCGGATGATGGACAAAACATAAATTACCCTGTGTCGTACCCAACCCTTTCTATACATGTGGCGATTATACTCAGGACCACTCAATGCTGACTGGCATTCTGAAGGACCCGCAGTGCGCAAGAAGAGCACCCAGCAGCGATTTCAGAAGAGCACAGCAAGAAGAGGAACGGCAAATATACAAAATGGGAACACCGGGGCGTTGACAGAAACGCGTATGACGTACCTCCGAGTGATCCACGTGGGACGTACCTCCGCTGGGCCTCCCAGGAGTCCACGAAAGTGGCGACAGTTGCGCAGGTCGCAAGCCCCCCAGGGGGCGGCGAGGTCCCGAGGTGATCCGCGTGGGACCCACCTCCGCTGGGCCTCCCAGGAGCCCACGAAAGTGGCGACAGTTGCACAGATCGCAAGCCCCCCAAGGGGCGGCGAGGTCCCGAGGTGATCCGCGTGGGGCCCACCTCCGCTGGGCCCAACGAGAGTGGCGACGGTTGCGCAGATCGAAAGCCCCCCTGGGGGCGGCGAGGTCCCGAGGTGATCCGCGTGGGACCCACCTCCGCTGGGCCTCCCAGGAGCCCACGAAAGTGGCGAGAGTTGCGCAGATCGCAAGCCCCCCAAGTGGCGGCGAGGTCCCGGGGTGATCCGCGTGGAACCCACCTCCGCTGGGTCTCCTAGGAGCCCACGAAAGTGGCGACAGTTGCGCAGATCGCAACCCCCCCAAAGGGCGGCTAGGTCCCGAGGTGATCCGAGTGGGACCCACCTCCGCTGGGCATCGCAAGAGAGCAAGAAAGTGGCGACAGTTACGCAGGTCGCAAGCCCCCCAGGGGGCGGCGAGGTCCCGAGGTGATCCGCGTGGGACCCACCTCCGCTGGGCCTCCCAGGAGCCCACGAAAGTGGCGACAGTTGCGCAGATCGCAAGCCCCCCAGGGGGCTGCGAGGCACCGAGGTGATCCGCGTGGGACCCACCTCGCTGGGCCTCCCCAGGAGCCCACGAAAGCGGCGACAGTTGCGCAGATCGCAAGCCCCAGGGGGCGGCGAGGTCCCCGAGGTGATGCCGCGTGGGACCCCTCCGCGGGGCTCCTAGGAGCCCACGAAGTGGCGAGAGTTTGCGCAATCGCAAGCCCCCCCCCAAGGGCTGCGAGGTCCCGAGGTGAATTCCGCGTGGGACCCACCTCCGCGGGCCTCCCAGGAGCCGACGAAAATGGCGACGTTTGCGCAGATCGCAAAGCCCACCAGGGGGGCGGCGGGTCCCGAGTGTGATCCGCGTGGGGCCACCTCCGCTGGCCCTCCCAGCGAGCCCACCAGATCGCAGCCCCCCTGGGGGCGGCGAGGTCCGAGGTGATCCGCGTGGGACCCACCTCCGCTGGGCCTCTGGAGCCACACGAAAGTGGCGACGGTTGCGCAGATCGCAAGCCCTCCAGGAGGCGGCGAGATCCCGAGGTGATCCGCGTGGGACCCACCTCCGCTGGGCCTCCCAGGAGCCCACGAAAGTGGCGACGGTTGCGCAGATCGCAAGCCCCCCAGGGGGCGGCGAGGTCCCGAGGTGATCCGCGTGGGACCCACCTCCGCTGGGCCTCCCAGGAGCCCACGAAAGTGGCGACGGTTGCGCAGATCGCAGACGGCACGAGAGAAGAGGAGAGGGGAACACAGGAAACAGGAGAGGAGGAGAGGAGGAGAGGGGAGGAGGAGGAGGAGGAGGAGGAGGAGGAGGAGGAGGAGGAGGAGGAGGACGGGGCGACCACACTGCTCTATTCAAAACGAGTACCCAACCATAGGAGGGTTGGGAAAAAAGTAGCACAAAAGACAAAAGTAGTCAAACCTATGTTTTAAACCACAAATAAACCAAGCAACGTTAATATGGTTTGTTGAGTATAGTTTAATCTATATATGAAACCGAAAAAGTCCCCAGGCTATGTTTGACTATATTTGAATATTCCTCCTGTACAGGGACATGCCCGATTTAAACATAGGCGGTGCGCCCGGGGAGGAAGTGAGAAGGGGCGGGCCTTCTCGGAAGGTTCGGAGGTTCCCTGGCCTTCCGAGAAGGTCTTTTAGGCCTTCCCCGAAGACAGAAAAACTCTCAGAAGGCGCGCGAGGGCTTCTGAGAAGTCCCGCCGCCTTCTGGAAAGGCACTCCCCTTCTCACTTCCCCCCTCGCTCGCCGCCGAGCATAAGGACATCCAAGTACGACGTGCCTCTGACGAAGACGCACCTCCGACCCGAAGATCTCGGCCACACGCAGGAGTGGCCCTGGGTAAGAGCGACCTCTGGTGCGCGGGTTCTTGGGGGGTGCGAGGGGGCCAAACCCGAGCGCGCAAGCCGCTGCTACAACGTCGCGCTCAGCGATGAGGAGGGCCCGATGAGCCCGCACCAAAGGTCACTCCAGCGAAGGGTCACTCTTACGTGTAGTCGAAAGACGCACGTCCGACCCGAAGATATAGCACAAAGTCTTGCAGTGATGTCGTTTCCCGGGCGGCATGGCCGGAGAGCGCCCGCCACGGAGCCTAATGTTACTGGAAGTGCTCCCCAGCGTGCGCGTCGCCCTTGCGTTGCCGACGCAGACATGGCGGACTCCGGAAACCCTGAACCCAAAAACATGCTCATCTCTTTGGGGCGCATCGGTTACGTACTTCCGCCGCCTTCCGCCGCCCTGCCGCCGGCCTCCGTTGGCGGAGGCGGCCTCGTGCTGCTTCCGCCGCCCTCCCGCCGCCCTCCGCCGAGGAAGAGATGACAACTCCTTCTATCCTCGAAGGCACGGCCCTTTCTGGAACGCCGCACATGGCGGATTCCGGGAACCCTGAAACAAAAAAAATGTTGTCACCGCTTGGGGGCGCATGTTTTACTCCCGCCACCTTCCGCCGCCCTTCCGCCGGCGCAGGCGGCCTCTCGTTGTTCCTCCGCCGCCCTTCCGCCGCCACTCCGCCGAGGAAGCGAGGGCAACTCCTTCCCTCCTCCTCCTCCTCCTCCTCCTCCTCCTCCTCCTCCTCCTCCTCCTCCTCCTCCTCCTCCTCCTCCCCTCCCACCCCTCCCCCTCCCCCTCCTCCTCCTCCTCCTCCTCCTCCTCCTCCTCCTCCTCCTCCTCCTCCTCCTCCTCGTCTATTAATTCAAGTAATGGATGGGAGGTGCCGATCCTGGAGCACCCTCGCCAGCGGCATCCGGTCCCTCCCGTGCCGCACCAGCAGCCCGCGGATGATGGCCTCGGGGCCAGGAGGCACCGCCCGCGGGGGCAGCTCCAGGCGCACCTCACAGCAGGGCTCAACCAACACAGTGTTTGTCGTTTTCGTTTTGTTTTCGTGGTCCCTCGTTTTGTCTTCGCTCCACCTCACCCTTAAAACGAAAGTCCACGGAATAGCCGAAACATCGTTTAGGTCCAGCCCTGCCTCACAGATCCTGTCCATGGTCTCCTTCTGGGAGCTCCCGGCGAAGGGCGAGCGCGCCAGCAGCAGCTCGTAGAGCAGCACCCCCAGAGCCCAGAGGTCCACGGTTGTGTCGTGGGGTTCGCTGGCGAGCATCTCCGGGGCCACATAGTCCAGGGTGCCGCAGAAAGTGTTCCTCGTCGGCTGCTCCGGGGTGATCTCAACGCACCTACGCCACGAAAGTATATACACTGAAACCCTCCGACGAATGTTGCATGTACCTTCAGGGAGGGCAGCGGTGCACAACGTCGCTGGGTCTCCTTGGCGATACATACACCGCCGCCCGCCCTGGAGGCCCAGGTATGATCCGTTGGAGGGCGTCTGTGTAGAAGTTGTTGGGTCAGACGCACCAGCCGAAGTCACCGATCTTCGCGCGGAGGGCCTTACCGAACAGAAGAATGTTCTCTGGCTTCAGGTCCCGGTGCGCCACGCGGAGGCCGTGGAGGTAGGCCAGGCCTGCCGCGGTGTCCGCAAACAAGGCGGCGGCCTGGCGTTCTGGCACGCACCCTCGCTGCTGCCGCAGGTAGGCGAAGAGCTGGCCCCCGTCGGCGTACTCCAAGAGGCAGTAGATCTTCGCCGCATCCTCGAAGTAGTAGTGCAGCCGCACGACGTTGGCGTGCCTCACGCGCAGCTGCGTCAGCACCTCACGGCGCAACTGGGTCTGCAGCCCGCGCCGCACAACACGCTCTTTCTCCAGGACCTTCATCGCAAAGACCTCCCCGGTGTCCTTCAGGGGTGAAGCAAGCTTCCACTTTCCACCACCACCACTTCGCCTCCTGGAGCCCTGCCTGGGTACAGATCCTGATGGATACAGCCCAAGACGCGGGCCCGAAGAAAGCATGTGAAACCTTAGTGGTGTTGGATGCGGCAGGTCCGTGTCGTGACGACCCTCGTGCCGGGGCGTGCGTTAAAAACGACCGCGCAGAATGGAGCCGCCGAGCCAGATCTCCGCCTCTTGCACTTTTCCCACTCACAAGGCTCTGGTGACACCGCGGACAGTCTTGGCCCTGCACGCACCGGTGGTGGTCTCTGACACCGCGTGAATCGGTCAGCCTTGAAAGATCGGCGGCTTCTCGACCGCCAGATCCTTCCGCATTGGCCGATTCTGGGGCCACTGGCGGCGTTCAACCTTGAACGCCCGCGATGGAGCCGCAGCCGCGGCGACACGACGCGAACCTGCCATGTCCCGACATCTGACGTCGCCAAACATGACGACGTCCCAACAAAAAACACGTCTAACGAGAACGGCGCCCATGCACCGTACCGTGTCTGGACTCCGTCCAGACCTCGCTCCAGGGCCGTACGGCGCATAGTTTGTTTGGCTCTGGGGGCCGGAAAACGATGCACCGTACCATTCCTGGGTAGAGAATCGACGACGCCACGAAAGGCGCCAACGCGGTACGGTGCACACAAGTCGTCCGCGGACGTCCGCGGACGTCTGGAACTCCGGACCCCATCTTTTGTCATGATGTTCCTCGAGTCGGCCCGATCGGTCAGGGGCCCCAGGGCCCGAAATGGGGCAAAGCGCGCCAGCCGGTCATGAATCACTGTAGGGCCTCGCGATCTGAGGGCCCTTCTCCCTCTCGCCAGGCTTCGGGACACAGCTCGGCCCCCAGGCGGCCATCGGTGGGGAGCCCAAAAGGTAGCAATACCGCTACTCCCCAGAACTCTCCCGGGGTGCGTTCTGACCAGAATTTCGAGGCGAATCCGACGGTAGCGACGAGGGCCTCCGAGGAGGACAAAAAAAGGGGAAACGAGGAAAGGGTAGAGGTATGTGTACCTTTGCCTCCTCTGAATCGGAGCCGCTTCGGGGCCCCCTGGAGGCCCCAGGCGAGGCGCAGCTGACGAAAAACACCAAGAGGATCCCCGAAGGCCCCTTACTGTTTGAGCTCGACGCGAACACCTCTCAAACTCTGCGGGCGCCACCGCCCCCAGGCTTCTGGCCTGCGGCTCGTTGCCGTCCGCCAGGCTCTGAAGCTCAATCTTGGCTGGCTCGGGCTTGGCTGGCTCGAGGTCCAACGCAACATCTCGGAGGAGGAAGACGCACCCATAACTCTACCCCCTCGCCCATTTTCCAAATGTTGAACCTCCTGGGAAGCCCTCGTCGCCATCGCCGGCTTCGCCTCGAAATCCTTGTCCGAATGCACCCTGGGAGAAGTCCGGGGGTAGCGGTATCGGTACCTTGTGGTTTCACCAACATCTCTACTTGCAGCTCCCTTTACTGCACCCGCCCCCTAGTCTCACAGCCTGCGATGGCCAGTACGAGCACGCGAGCGCCAGGGGCACCAGTTGTAGCAGTTCGTGAGCGCGGCGTTCGCAGCCGCCTGTTTAGCCCGCTCCGCGAGATGGATCACTTCGACTCCCTCGGCAACCCACCCCGCCAAGAGGTGCATCGGATCTCTTCGCAGGTAGCCCCGAACACTCCGAGAGATGCAGTCCCACGATCCGTCACCATGACGGCGATCCCCGACTGCATGGAGAACATGCTCGAAAGAAAACTCCAAGAGGGGCTTGAACCTGGTGCGCAGTAAGTCGAGTCGATCGACTGGCGGGTGGAGGCGATTGGTTTGCAGAGAACGAGAAGGGGGAGATAAGGACGCAATTGGAAAAACTCGAGCAGCCAAGCGACCACTTGATGGACACCGTCAAGAGTAATGAGGCGGCCAACACGATCAACCACTTGAGCCACAGTTGACTGAATGTAGCTATACATCTCTGGAGGCGGCAGCGCACCGCCATGGTTAAACAACACTCCGAGGACTACGCGCTCAGATGAACGAAACATCACGGCCGTGACCGAAGGTCTGGCCGACGTGTATGGGGACGAGGCCAAGGAGTGGATCAAGAAAACAAGTATAGACGCTTTGGGTACCGAAGCCTACTGAAGTGCACTTAAGTGGCGACTTCAGTGGCACTCTCTTCCTCAAATCCCGCACAGCTGAGGAGCAAGAGCAAATGATCAAAAAAGCCCGGGGCAAGGCACTGGAATACGGAAATTGAATCAACATGTAGCCAGACGTCCCGCCTGAAGAGCGGATCCCTCAATCATTATGTTTGTCTTCAAACCTGTACTGCTGAAGTGTGTGCGTGCGGGTTGATATTCCGACCAAAACTTTACACGCATGTGACGGTTAAGTGTAAAACAAGTATGGGAGACAATGGCAAGAATATGGTCACTGATGTTGGTGAGGGATCGGAGAATTGTTTTTCGCTGTGAGGAGCTTGAGGGGATTATGAAGATCTGCGAGGAAAATGCAGAGACAAACCTCACACCAACGAAAGAGGCAGGAAAGGGCAAGAGTGAGAACAAGACTGGAAAGGCATCAAGCCCTGAATAGGGACAGCATCGATCGAATCGAACTGGACCACTTCCAAAGGATGATAAGTTGCATGTCTTCGGCAAGAATGCCTGGCTAACTGACCCATGCGGACTTATGGACCGCTGAATAAGTGAACACGCCTTGGGACATCATCCTTTTCAGTGAGACTCACACGGAACGTCAAATTGTAGAAATAGGGGCGGGCATCGTTGACACTCACATGGAAAGGACTATGCAGCCTCAGGTGTTGGTGTGTTGGCACATGCACGGCTGGCAAAAAATAGCAACGCAGTGCGTCTCTGATGGAGTACTTCGTGTTCATAGGAAGCTCGCTCATCGGAAGATCGCCTTTCGCGCTGTTTACCTCCCTCACGCAAGATCGATGAGGTCTTTGCGACCGCAGTTTGTAGTGGCCATTCGATTGCATTGGCCTGGGGAGCGATGTTAGTTCGCAGTGGTGTTTCGGAGTTTGTGGTCCAGATATGGCAGGAAAGGCGGCTGTCTTTGACCTGTTCGCGGCCAATGGAAATGGGAACGGCCGTGATGAACAGAGCTGGACTTTCAAAGTAATTTGGGCCAACTTGGAAGGATTGAATTTCTACTGGCATCGTCTGTCCCTCATGCGGTGACCCGGAGAATGTTAGATCATTGAGGTTTGGCACGGCCATAGCAAAGGGCCAAGGTCATGGATGCGAGGTTGGAGCTCTTTACAGAAGATCAATGCGTGTCACAAAAGATTGGATGGGCAGCTCAAAGCAGAGGCGATAGAATGTGGCACTGCAGAAACTCATGGTGAGGGCGCGTGCAGCAAACGAGGGACGTTTCAATGACCAGGCTCGAGACTCCCTACCTCTCCAAGATGTGATGCCCTGCAGCGTAGACAGCTTTCAAAGGCACTACGAAAGCATGTTCGCAGGCAGCTCCCGAGGCAGAAGGGCCAAATACTTCAGACGATATTTGATAAGTTCGTCGACCTCGACTCAATCAACGAAGCGGGGCGATTGCCGACGCGCTCCGTTAGAGCGGGTGGGACTGCACAAGCAGGGCCGGAGGACTTCTCTAACTACTTAGAGGGGATCTTCAAGACTGGATGGCCGTATGCTTCTGGATCGGCATCTACGTTTTCGCAGTCGCGCTACGCGAATACCCCGTTTTACCATGTGGGAGCTTCGGTGTGCACTGAAAATCTATGAAGATTCGGAAGGATCTTGATGCGCATATGATTGTGGTCGACATGTTCAAACAGGCGTCGGACAAATGATTGCCTGTTCTACTCGAGCTGCTCAGCAGAATGTTGCATGATGGCGTGAGTCATCTATCGTGGCAGGAGGCTCTGTTTTCAATGCTTCCGAAAGCAAGTATTTTGGGACGTTCGTGGGCGCGCCCAGATCATTGCGTGAACTATGACGACGGTTTGGATGTTTGGTCTGTCTCAACTGTGGCAAGACTGGCGCAGAGCCTGCCATTGCTCCACGTTCCCAGCAAGCCCCGACAGGCCGAGAACATATACGACGAATGCGGGCCTTATTGTGGCCCGAAGCTCTCGGCAAAGCTGAGGCTCCCAGAAATATTTAAACAGTATGGTTTGCCAAAAGCACTGATCAACTCAACTCGAATCTTCTTCACTCCTCCCCCTCCTCCGAAGCTCTCTGAAGTCTCCCGAGGCCCAAAGGCGGCCAAAAGTGTACAAAACAATCGATCCTAATCCCTCTCCCCTCTCGACGGCTCCTCCTCCTCCTCCTCCTCCTCCTCCTCCTCCTCCTCCTCCTCCTCCTCCTCCTCCTCATCATCATCATCATCATCATCATCATCATCATCATCATCATCATCATCATCATCATCATCATCCCCTCCTCCTCCTCCTCCTCCTCCGCCTCCCCCTCCTCCGAAGCTAAATCCGCCACCGTACCGCGAGGCACAAGTGGGAGTGTCCTCAGGTCTCCTGCAGTCCTCAGTCCTCATTCCTCAGGGTTGTATATTGGGCGCCCGAGTTATCCGGGGTAACTCGGGTCCGGGGTAACTCGGGTTTGGATTCCCGAAAAATGAACCCGAGTTATCCCTGACCCGAGTTACCCCTGATGATTCGGGGCTCTGAGTATATAAAGGGGCACACGCACCCCAAGTTCTCATACCTGCTGCGGTTCCCGGCGTGCCCCTGGCGCTTCCCGCAGCACCTCTGCGAAAGGCACGAGCTCCCCAGGACGAGCCACGAGGACCACAAGAGAGGCCTCTGACCTGCAGCCCGGATGCTAAGAGGCCTCCCAGGTGTAGTCCGAGCAGATGGGGTCGGACGGTCGCGCCGCATCGACAATGCATCGATCGCCGATTCACGGCGATGCGTCGGCGACGCCTCAGGAGGAGGCGGCGGCGGCGACGAAGCGGTGTCGGGCCGAAGGTCGATAAAAAA